TGAGTAATGTGCTTAAGAGGAGATCAGCTGTTGTGTCACCTTTAAATTTTAGGTTCGCAACTAACTTTTTCTTCAGTACTTCTGACTTTTGCGAATTATCCACATTTACTTTTCGTATGTTTACTGATAAATGCTGGTGTATTTCATCATTCCTGGTAGTTTAAAGCACTACAAATAAGTTTAGCATTACGTATGATATGCGAGTGGCTAATAAAAGGTGATAATAGTGGCGATATGCATTGTTTATTAAAATCAATTATGCTGACTAGATAAAAAGTTGTGAGAAAGGTGACGGGAAGTAGATATTAAGAAATGATGTGGACTTTGAGGAACAAAATGCTAGTATAGTTACCTTTAACGTCATTTCACTTAAGGTACTTAATCATACCATTAGAATTCTTGCTTGGTGGGCAGAACACCCCCTACAAAGATTCAGATGATTCGTCCCTGTGTTGACTGACCGTTGAATGACGTATGTTTGTCTCTTATACCGGTTTGACCAATTGTGCTTTCATTCCGTGTAGTACATTTTTACCAGTGTGTCAAGAAATATCCTTTCAGACAGTTTCATAGATAATTTATAGATGACTAAGTTTGTGGGGGATTGTTTCCTATAGTGTTCCTTTTGCTTTTGTTGCCCTAACTTAGCCAAATTCTTTGCCAGTTACTTAGGTATCAATTTGTAATCATGTTCTTTTCATTTTTTTGTTCTTACAAACTAGTCTTTCCGAGCTGTTAAGACGAAGAACAGACTTTCTGAATACTACAAATAGTCATGGGTTTGTGGAAGGAATATATTATTTATTTAAAAGAACTCTTTGATACATTCTTCCGTTATATTGCTGAAGTCAGGTACTTCGTGTAGATTATAGAATAATCCTGTGTAATTCACACAAAAGCTATCTGTCCAGACATCGAAATAAGACCAAACACTACAACGAAGAGTGACTGTTAGACAAATTCTATCGCTTAGCTTTAAAATCGCAATGAAATGTAATTAGCTTTTTGTGTGCATATATACATAACCCAAAGTGTGTCGGTGGCACAGAGGTAGAATGTTTGCCAGCCACTTAGGTGGTCCGGGTTCGATTCCTGACCACTGATGCACTCCCATGCATCGCTTAGCTGGTAATAAGCCTGGCAAAGAGAGAAGGCTGGTTGGAGGGGAAACTAGCAATCCCATCTCGTGAAAATAAAACCACTGCTGACGAAACTTCTAAGCTCTGCCTTGAAGCCCCCTATGTTCCACTGGGAACTCAAAGGAATAAAATGGTGAATTAAAGTACATAGCACAATGATTAAAAACTGGTGTAGAGCGTTCTTCATACCATCAAAATATTTCAAAACATTGATGAATTGTCAAATCCTAACTAGGAAGGGGGATGATTAGTGAGTTTTGGGCTAAGGTTACGCAATATGAAAATCATTCATAAAAATTGTACTCTAATGGAAGACCATGTAGACAAGTATCATAATAAATTATGCTGGAAATGAAAAACAGTGAACAAATGCCTAGTTAAGGGAATGATACTAATAAATGTTAAGCGAAAAATGTGGAACATAGTACTTATAACAAAATATTGATAACAGTTTAACCCAGAATTAGACCTAAGGTAGAAGGGAGGGATAGAAGAGTTTTTCCTGTATACATAAATCAGAATTTTCTATTCAAAGCACTGAAGCCTTGGCAGTGAGAAGTATATAAAAGTATACGGTTTTTGAAAGGTTTCTTTTTGACTTTGTAGGTAACTTAAAATGAATTTTCCTCGTATACTGATTGGGTAGTATTATTATTCCTTTGGGTTCCAAGTGGTGCATAGGGCTTCAACAACACATCTCCATCTTCTTCTATTCTCTGCCATCCTCTTCATCTGGGTATACGACTGCCTAAAATTTCCTATCTCCTCCCCCTCCCCAAAACAATCTCCTCCATGTCACCCTCGCACTGATAGGCAACTTGTCGCTTCCCATTGGGGATCCAATCCAGCAATGATCTGCGTTGAGCGCTATGTCATTTGACAGCCTCCTCAGCATGCGCCCGATCCATCTTCGTTTTCTTTGGAACACTTGTTGAGCGATCGGCAAATGGTTGGTTTGTTTCCAGAGTTTCTTCAAGCTAATCCTTTCTGGCTGGCTGGCTGGCCACCTGATCTTCGGTATGGAGCCCGTAAAGATGGCAGCTGTTGATAAAACTGTGTAACTCATTAGAAATCTATTTGATGACACGCTAGCCAAGCTTCTGACTCCATATTTGTGTTGAATAGAATCCGAATCTTCTTCTTTATGCTGAGGTGGGGGTGTAGAAGATTTTCGGACTGGTTTCAGACTGATGAAGGCCTATCTTGCCTTCCCATTTCTGGCTCGTTCAAATCACTTTCCTTGGTGGTGATTGGCACTGTTTGTTGGCTTTGTTGCTGTTGATTGGTCATCCTCATCACCTTCATCTTCTCCATGCTTTACTTGGAGTCCTCTCTTTGCTGCTAATCAGGCTCTTCATCCATTTTGTTGGTTTTCACCTTCAAGTCTGTGAGTTTGAGTTATTTGCCAGGGTTGAATATAAATTGAATTATAACACTCTCTATTGTTTCATTGTTACCTTTCTGTAGCTCTGGTTGGACAATGTTACCTGACTCTTTTAAATGAAATATGTATGTAACAACTTGTATGTCTCATTTTACAGGAGCAAGTAAATTGGTAGACACCAAATTTCTGATTGAAAACGATAATATAGCAAAAATATTCATTCAGATATCTATAAAACACAACATAATCGAGCAAAGAATATTCTTTTCAATAAATTCCTCTTCTGGCTCTACAATTATATACATGTTTATATACACAGAATATTCAAGGTTGGTAGTTAATAACAATATTAGTGTTTTTTAAATAATATCGATTTGTAAAGCAAGATCAATGCAATTACAGTTCACTAAAAATACTTAAATTATAATAGTAATAAAGATATAATAGCGAGTAGGATATCAACTAAAATTAGGAAATTTTCACGAAAATTGAGAATCATTCAAACCTAGATGGCCAAGGTAGGGACAGCGTCTGAACTAACTTCTTTTGGACGCACAAATTAGGCTTTTTAATGTGGATCCCAACAGCCTCAGCAATATTTAGTAATCGAACTCTTAAGGCGAAGTTGAGATTTGTTGGTATCCGATAAATAACTCTGAAAGCTTGATTAACATCAATCCTATGTTCTGTATCCACCAGATGAGCCAAAATAGCGCTACGGATAGATTTTGTTTGGCCTTTGCTTAACCACGCAGGGTGATGTTCGGAAATTCGACGAGAAACACGCCTAATTGTGCGGCCTATGTAACTGGCTCCACAGGAGCAATTAAATTGGTAGATACACATGGATGAGGCGAAATTAGGCAGTTTGTCTTTTACTCCCGAACGCAGAAGAGAAGTAGTCTTAAAGATACAACGTAATTCAGCAGCAGGGAATGCTCGTTTTACCGCGTTTCTAATACGCTGTGTTAGTATCTCGCTAGTGTTGTCCCCAAGGAACTGCATCTGAAAGAATAAGGCCTTTTTTGGAACTGTTGGTAACTTCGGCTGCTTTGGTTTCAAATTCATATTCTTATCAATAAACTTTTCAGGATAACCATTCTCACTTAGCAACCGTTTAATATTATTCAGTTCTTCATCAAGACATTCGTCCGAGCAAATCGCTCTTGCTCTGTGAACCAGGCACTTTATCAAATTGCGTTTGTATTTCAAGGGCACAAAACTGAGAAAATGTGTGTACTGGCCCGTTGATGTAGGTTTTCTATATACACTTCTTCTTATTGAGCCATCCTCTTTTCTGGTCATAAAAACGTCTAAAAATGGAATACTAGATTCCTTTTCTGTCTCGATGGTAAAATTTATTGCAGTATGTACCTCGTTAAATTTATCCAGGATGCTCTTTGCTTCCTTCTCGTTTTTCATAATTAAAAAAGTATCATCCATGTACCGACAATAAAATTCGAGTTCACTAATAACATCCTTCAGAGGCCCATTTTCTAGTTTCGCAAGGAAAATGTCGGCTAGAATGGGTCCCAGTGGTGACCCCATTGCCACACCGTCAATTTGTCTATATAGTTCCTTATTAAATAAAAAGTGGACATTCATTGTACATTTCAAGAGAAGCTCTTTCACAAATGATATAGGAATGCCGACATTGATGTTTCGTCGTTTAAGTTCTTCACATACAAAGTCCACTGTTTCCATAAGTGGTACATTGGTGAATAAGGAAGATACGTCAAATGATATCATGAATTTATTGTCGACACTTAAATCTTTTATCCTTTCCACAAATCCGAAAGTATCCTGAGTTATCGGGTTACCTTTATTTTTCCTAAACCAAATTTAGGCTAAATTAGGCATCGTTGTTTAGTCTGTCAATTAATTCCAGCATATTGGGAAGTAGATAAGCTTGTTTATACACATATACTATATTCAACGACAAGTTTACTCGATGCATAAAAGGCCTGCATTATTTCCCTACATCTTTTTTTCTTCAATTAATCTGACTACAGTTTATTGTAAACGTTATAACTTTTTTTTTCTAACTGGTTGATTAAGCAATTTATCAAATACAAATGTCACAGTTTTAGCCCAACTGTTTAGTAACTCTAACAAAAAGTAATCCAGATCAAAAAAGCGATATACAAAGATAATAAGCACAAAAAAAATAATAACAAATATATCAAGATGTGGATGCTTATGATAACACTGAGTTGTACAATTCCATTTCACTTTGAATAAATATGCAAAGGTCTGTACTCCATGCAATTTTTCTACAAAAGGGCATTTTATTTACATGCAACTTTGTTTGATTAAAGTCGCCTATCATGAAAATTGATTTAGAGTAAACCAACTGTCAAAGTTATATGCAAAAAACTTGTCAAGATTATTGTTTTACTAGTGTACCACTGATTTAGAGGTAAAATAAAGACTTATCTTCTTCTAATTTGATCTTTTTCAACTTTTTCCACTAGAAAATGATTTGTCGATGGTTATTTAGACTGCAGATCTTTGGTCTATTCTTCTTCTTCAGGTATCTCTGTAACGGTGCAGGTAGGTTATGCTACATCATTATGGGTTGTTTTACTTGTGATGTATATTTTCGATATTTTCTGTTGATTTTGAAGCAATCAGTTCTTGGAGAGGGAAGTCAGGATCCACAGAGTCCATTAAGTTGTGCTTGATATTGGCTTATAGAGTGACACTGCATATTGTGAAGTGGCATAAATTAGAATCGAAAGCATATTGGATTTTGTCGCAGTGGGTGAACAGTTGTCCACAAGCTCGCCTATTAATCTAAAGATCAAGTGTATAATCACCTGATGAAGAGTCGGAAACAAGGACGAAACGGTTGTACAGTACTCCATGGTTTACAATGTTTTCCTAACTGGAGTCGATTTATAATCAAAACTGAAATCGATCAAATCCCGAGAAGGCAACCCTTGAAAGTCTCACGAAATAATGAAAAAGCATTGATAGTTGAATAAAATGAACACCTGAAGTTGGTCCAAAATTCCTTAACTGATTAAAAAACTGACCAGACAGTGTTAAAGTGTTACAAAATAATTAGTAAACCTGAAAAGGTGTAGGCAGACATTCTTTAATCATTGATTCGTTAGTCAAGCAGTCTGTAGCATCCTAGGTACCTGAGACTAATCGTCATCAAAGACTTTATAGATTAATGGTATGTTTTGTGTGACCTTCACCCTCAATCTGTGAAATTCGAAAACCTCATTGATCGACTTTTTGTTTTTTCACCGGACAATACACCTGACCTCATTATTGATTACAAGGTCGTCTGAGTTTAAAAAAAACGACTTAACAAAGTTGTCTTGGAATGTAAGCCTCTGTTTTTTTTGGTGTATTCTTTCAGAGAACATACCTTACACACCTGTACTAATAGCAACACAGTTAGAAGAATGATGAACGCATTTTCTCTATCCTTTGGGAGACATTTTTCTGCCAGGAGTAGTTCATGCATGCTAGTAGATCTCCTCATTGGTAGTTTGTGATGGAAACTACCATCTTACTATGCGTTACAACTATCTTGCTAAGGAAATATGAATTAATTTTATTTGAAAGACTATAAGCAGCACTTGCCTGGTGGAGATATAAGATAATACTCATTACCTGATATGAATCTGATGTAGCTAAACGTTTCAAATTGATAGATGTTAGAATTGATTAGCCATTCGACCCCATCCCAGTGACTGGATGGCCAACGAGTTCACCTTGTAACTTCAACGTCCTGTGATTGGTCGCTGGGGGGGTGAAGCTCATACTTCGCGTACTGTTGAAGAGCACCAGACTAGGATGAAATAGCTCTCCAGCACAACATGGTTTCCAGTAATTGTCTGACTGACACCAAAACAAACTAACATTTAAAAATTCTGTTTGATCAAAAATATGAAATGTTGCCAATTTTAATGTTATTTTGTTAGAACAGTTTAACACTTAGTAGGCGTTGAATAAAATGCCAACGTCACGGTTCACTTACTTTGAGTAATTGAAGTACCATGGTATAAATGGAGTATTCTATGTATAGTAGTATGCTTGCTAAGTATCATTACAATAATCATGGATATAATCTTATCAACATAGTAATATAACGTCACAAGTAAATTCTAATCTTTGTGAGTACATTTGACATGATTAAAAGTGAATGAGTGAAACAGTAATATGGTACTATCTGCTACAAAGAAACACTTCAAGAGAGTGAACACGAGAATTATACCATGACTTATGAGTAAACTGCTTACATGTATGACAATGCCATCCCACATTTCATATAATAACCAAGTCAAATGAATCCATAGTTAGATATTTATCATCATAAGAAAATATTTCCAAGAATTAATTTCTAGGAATTAGGTTTGTTTTAAGTTTTCGGTCAGGGATTTATATCAGTTAGAAAATTCCTGAAGACAATCGAATACCGCAGTGGTGTTTCATCCTAGTTTTAGACTTATCAGAGCGCATCAACCAAGGTTTTAAACCCAGAACTTTCTCGTCGCAAAGCAAGCTAGTAGACCATTCAACTACTGGCCAATGAATTCCAGCCTTCGTGATTTTACCGAACACTAGTCAATGTTATCAACGAGTATTTTTCCTGGCGCTCTACCTGGTGGACCCCACTGGTAACGAATTCTCACTTGAACTTTAGAAAACTTCGTCTTGTAGCCAGTCACTAGAGGGCCTCATATTAATTTTGTAGGGATTTCAGAAGGGAGACTAAAGTGGTGTTATTTTCGTTGATGATGATTAGTAGTGGATTTGTACTCGGTACTCGGTGTTTGAATGTGCCTGAGTCCTCAGCGAGTGTTGTTACTGCCACTAAGACTCCTATAGGAGGTGGCTCTCATGACCTTATTGATTCTATGGGTGGAGATTTCCCTTTTGAAATGATAGCTGCAAAGTCCGAGTCCCAGTGGGAACATCATCACTCACTGGAGATACAGGTACATTCAGATGACGCGTCAACAAAAGCTCGAAATACGCATCCTAGGATTCCCTGCTAGTCACTAAAATCAATCAGAATATATTTGCCAATATCTTTTAATTCTAACAAATAATCACGATGAGTTTTGGTGAAAAATGACACGGTTGTTTGCATTACATATAAAAAAAAATAAATTTTTGTATCTCCATAAAACTTATTTTGTCTTGATTTCTCTAAACAGAATGGTCTTATTCTGATCCAAATAATGGACCAGATAGATGGTCTCAAATTCCTCATTCAATGTGTTCTGGGACTTATCAATCACCTATTGCATTGTCAAGAGCATCATCTGTATTCAGTCCTGAATTGAAAACGATACAAATTTATCGATCAGGGTCAACAAAAACACAAAATCAAATTGTCAACTCTGGTCATTCAAGTAAGCAGATTTCAAAGTTTAATGTTAATGTGTGTGTGTTTTTATATTTCTTGGTTGTTCACTGTTATACGTCCATTTTTGCTTAGTTTACAAATCATGCATAATTCACTTGAGTCTCATAAAAGCCACTCAAGTTTAACAGTTCGTATACATTGATGAATGTGAAGTCAGTGCTACTATACAGATCAGAGACTTGGCCAGTGCGTCATAAAGAGTATCTCAAACAAACTTGAGACCTTTATTAACAGTTGTCCTCGCTCAATACTCAAGATCAGATAGTCGGCCAGAAAAGGTCAGCAACAAGGATCTCTGGGAGCGAACCAACCAGGAACCGATTGTGAAACAAATAGGGAGGAAGAAATGGAGATGGATTGGCTGGCCATACGCTGAGGAAACCATCAAGTGACATCACTAGACAATCCACTGCTCGAGCAGAACTAGAAAGGGAAGCGGCGAGTTGGTCGTCCAAGAATGACTTGGATGGGGTGATGTGAAGAGGAGATGAACGCATGTGGGCAGACTCGGAGCCAGGTGAAAACTCTAGCAGAGGACCGAACGCAATGGGGACACACGGCTGAAGTCCTATGTTCCTCTAGGAATTAAAGGAAATAATAATAATACATTGATGAGAAGCAGTAGTTGCAGTCGTTTGTAATGTATTTGCTGGAAAATAGCATATGGGGAGTAGAAAAAGGGAAAACACCGGGGAATGAAAATACGTATTTCATGAACTCTCTAATGACATACTAGTTGATCTCATGGCTAACTATATGCTCTAGCGCCTGATATTATATAATCATTGGCATTCTAAAAGAATTTTAACAATTGTAATTAGTTATACAACTTTTCAAGTACTGGTTTGTAAGGATTTGACTGATTGGTTAAGGGATTTCATCGTGAGCTGACATCGGTTAGGGAAGCATTGAACCAAACCTGAGAGTACTGAACAGCTGTTCCATCACCCTATTTTCGGACTTTTCATCAGTACACACTCACAGCTGTCCAGTTCTCCAAGGTTTTCCAGTGGTTCTTTAACCGAAATCAGTTCATGATGAAATCCCGTAACTAGTCAGCCACATAGCTACAAACCAATACTTGAATATCAATGGAATGCTCATTAGGTAGATCTGTCTGTCAGTCTGTTTTTGATATAGAACTTTGCACAAATGTGCGGAAGTTCAAGTCGCCACACTCCGTGTAGCACGCGAAGCAAGAGAAGAAAGTACAATAAAGGCATAATAGAGACAGTAAACAGAGGTGTGAGAGAGAAAAGGAATAGATAGATAATAATAACATACTTTAATGTTTAATTCGTAGCGGAGAAGAAATACTATAAAACTTATGCATCTAAAATGAAAGCAGCATTACAATTTTAGTTTAAGTTTTCATCATCAATTTATACGCTTTCAAAGTAGAAGAGAGGGGGTAGGAGTAGTAAGACAGTGAACAGACAAAATTAACATACAGTATTAGCTTGTAGGTTCACGTAGCGACTCAAAAAACAAAAAGCTCGGTAAGTTGAGATCACTGAATTAGATGACTAAATAATGTAATCAAAATCAAAATACAGTTATCCAGGCTGTGAGATTTATGCATAGAGAAAGAGAGTGTGATTAATCTCTCACTCTGTTGGTAACTGAATTCTGATTTTGATTACAACAATTAGTCATCTAATTCAGTAATCGCAACTCAATGAGCTAATCTCAATCATATAAATTAAAACCGCTTTTTCGTCCTAGTTTGGGGCTCTTCGGCAGTACGCACCCACCGGGGTTATAACCCAGGACCTCCTGATTACAAGGCGAGCTCGTATACCATTAAGCCACCGGGACCCGATCCAATGGCCCATGAATTCTAACTTCTGCTAATTCACGATATAGCGCAACCACTAGCCAATGTCATCGCTGGCAAGTATTTCTCCTCATGTCCTACCTGCTGTACTCTACTTGTAACCAGAAGGTCCCGAGTTCGAACTCCCTGCGGGTGTGTAGTGATGAAGAGCCCCAAAATAGGACGAGACAATTGTCAATTACTGCCAGGTTTCACAATATTAATACTTATTCGGATGTTTCAAGGAACTTTCTAATTATTACTCCTAGACCATATATTACTGTTCTGACATTTGCATATCATATTTTGACTTCATCCTTATTGTTCATTTTTTACTAGTTTAGTCACTAATTTGAATGTTTCTCTTTGTAGCTGTACAATACATTGATGATGTGTTATTTTACAATGTTGTTTTACTTGGGACCCTAGTGGGAAGTCGTAACCGGTATGCTACAGAAGGTCGGGCGTGAAGACAAATGCTTGCCTTAGACATTGTGAAATGGTCGCGCTATGTCATGAATTCAGCGAAGAGTCTCTTTTCGGCGAATTCATTTTCATAGCTGTACAATCGCAAATATATATGGTTATTTTGTGTGTGTGTATATATATATACATTAAATTTGTCAAACGAAAATACAATTGGTAAGTTCAGATGAATTGGATGTTAATAAGAGGATAGCAACAAAAGTGATGAGTTGTCATAAATGATTGTTAAATAAGAGTTACATAATGGCATGAATAGTTTGATGAATGAGTTGTGCTCAGAGTGCACATGGAAAAGAAATAATATACAGAATTACACAAGGGTTTTAAGTTATAAAAATAAGCATACAAACAGAAGTAAGGTCCAATCAAACAAACAAAGAGAAGTTAGGACAAACCAACGGAGTTGTTACCATGCGAGTAGAAGTGGTTGGATAATTTTCTTTTGTATGCATAGTTCTGGTTCCACCAACTGGATGGCTAGGGCTTCTGCGAAGCAAAGAAGACGGAATCGTACTGTCTTTGGAAGGTTGTTCTTCACTTTGTAGATTACTTTGAAGGAGGCGTTCGTTGAGATGGAACATCTTTACAACACTGGTCATTCCATCTCAACGAACGCCTCCTTCAAAGTAATCTACAAAGTGAAGGACAACCTTCCAAAGACAGTACGATTCCGTCTTCTTTGCACCACAGAAGCCCTAGCCATCCAGTTGGTGGAACCAGAACTATGCATACAAAAGAAAATTATCCAACCACTTCTACTCGCATGGTAACAACTCCGTTGATTTGACCTAACTTCTCTTTGTTTGTTTGATTTGACCTTACTTCTGTTTGTATGCTTATTTTTCTAACTTAAAACCCTTGTGTAATTCTGTATATTATTTCTTTTCCATGTACACTCTGAGCACAACTCATTCATCAAACTATTCGTGCCATTACGTAACTCTTATTTAACAATCATTTATGACAACTCATCACTTTTGTTGCTATCCTCTTATTAACATCCAATTCATCTGAACTTACCAATTGTATTTTCGTTTGACAAATTTAATGTATATATATATACACACACACAAAATAACCATATATATTTGCGATTGTACAGCTATGAAAATGAATTCGCCGAAAAGAGACTCTTCGCTGAATTACTTGTCTTCTGTCTACTAATGTTCGAATGGGAATTATTCATGAATGTCATGAATTGACAAAAGTTAGGATTCATGGAATGGCCATGGGACCGGATCCCAATGGACTAGTGTTGTACGAGCTAGCCCGCCTTGTAACCAGAAGGTCCTAGGTTAGAACTCCACTAGGGTGGGTACGTGATGCTGAAGAGTCCAAAACTAGGAAGAAACAGGCTTTCCAGTGGTTCTCCAACCAATGTCAGCTCATAATGACATTCTGTAACCACACAACTTTTGTCAACCATTATCTTAAAAACTTTACCGTTTCCTTTGATTTCATCTTAAAATTGTGGTTGAACCTCTTGTGTTCTTTAAATAAATTTTGACTTATTTCATTTGGCTAACTAAACTTCAGTTGTCTGTGTTTCTCCAGTCCAAAACTTCAGTCCTCTGGATCGTCCACTATACTTGGTGTCATCCTGAGAATAAGTGTTACTGCATGTTCTACGTTGTCTAAGTTTAAATTTGAGTTTAGTCTTCCACTCCTAACTTTTAGCATCGTAAATTTGTTCACACTGCTATTTTTAAGATAAGTTCACATCTAAAACTTGTTTTCAGTGATTTGTATTAGTTATTTACTATTATTATCTGGGATTCCAAGCTGAAAATAGGGCTGTGACAGTTCACCTTTATCACCTCTCGCTTCTCTATGTTCTCCCGATGTCTTTTTTGCTCTGCTGGCCTATTCCGCCAACAATGTGGGTTTTTACCTGTAGGTCTTCGAATTTGTATGACATTAGACACAAACTGTTCGTGAAGTCCTTTTTTTTTAGATTCTTCTCGTCTGCTCAGAGTATGCCCACCGTCTCACTCCCCATGGTGTTAGGTATGACCCGGTCCACTACAATCATGAATGTCATCATTGATAGTAGGTGATCTTATCCTACCTCTATCTTCATTTCAAAGGCATTCCTGAACCTTCCGTTGTCAACCATTTGACGCGTGGTGTCACGTCGGTGGCACAGTGGTTAAGACTCTCGCCTACCATGCACATGGCGCGAGGTTCGATCCCCTGCCAACGCACACCTGATGTCTATGGTCGGCCTGCAAAATTTGGGCTACCGATATCCATGCTGAGAATTCCATACTTGTACCAAAAATACAGTGCGGAATCAAGCTGTAATCAAAAATAAAAAAATTAAAATACCTGATAAATGAGGTTGGTAATGGGTACTCCGTAGTGTTGAGGTAATTACTTTGCTGACACTACTGACGACTGAGCTAAGGTAGAGAGGTTTGACTGTCATTTTATTTCATTTCCCACTATTTATCGTTGTGTTATTATTTAGTCCACACATGATTCCCTTTTCATCAATCCAGCTAGTTCGGTGTGAAGGTTTGTATCTAGAAGATGTTCTAGTCTCTTCAGGAAGTTGTGGCTTAATATTCTGCTTGGACAAGGACAACAGCACGATTCCACTGCATTTCTTTCGATCGCTTAGACAGCTGTTGTTTTAGAGTTTGACAAGCTAAGCATTCTTTCCTCCCAAGCCTTCTGCATTA